TAGTTGAAGATGTCCCTGCTTATTCTGTGGGGCGGGGTGGGGTGGGGTGGACTAGATGACTTGTAAATGTGCCTTCCAACCCAAACCATTCTATGATTCTAGGATTCTATTACTTTGTCTTTGTTTTCTGAAATTAAAGCCTACTTTGTGCTGTGGGGTTAACATTTTAGGGTAAAAGAAATGGGCATCCAGTTATTGTCCTCCATCCCACGTCCCCAGAAGTGTCCACATTTCACCTGGGTCTCCTGTGTCTTGGGTGAGAGCTTCTACACCTGAGCTGTTGAATACAAGGCAAGAGGACAAAGACAGTACACCCTGCTTATGGGCTTTTGGACTCTAGCCAAAAGAATCCTGAAAATATTCAGTGAACAGAATTCAAATTCTTGAGCAGCTTTAGATAAACCAAAACAAGTTTTTGATAATAGATTTACCTACTGGTGATGCCTGGGATTCTTTAAGCCTCTTTGATTTATAGAGCTGGACTATAAAATCTGAGAAACAAGCCTTCGAGTGACACATACACAGCCTTCTGGGAGAGCCAGCCTGCCTATGACACTAGACACAGCATCTCCGAGGACCCCGGAGACACACACAGACTGTGCCAGGCTGGAAATCCCAACCCAGTAGTTGTAGTAAAAATGAAGCATGGATGCTGCTGTTGTCTTCCTTCGGTCTCTGGGAAGATCTTGATAACACAGCCATACCAGAAAGCCTTTTCAGCCAACTCCTACAAGATTTACTTCTAATTTTGCAGGATTTGAGTATGTTTTCATGGCTGTCACACCTGCCCCAACTGGTGCCGCAGCTGCTTCTCTGGGTCAAGCTGCTTTTGTTGGCATTGCTTGTCATGCAAGAATTGCAGCTAGTGTTGATAAAGAGTGCCCCAATGTCTTAGGCATAATCTGCAGGCAGGTGCATTAAGCACGATGAACTGGATAAAGAAGGAGGAAGGAAGACAGAGAGAGAGAAAAACGCTAATGAAGAGCTCAGTGGATTGCAGTGGTCATATAACGTGTCCCATTACCATAGTGCAAGCCTGTAGCCGCTGTCCCTGTGCTATCTGTGCCCTGTGTTCTTGCCACACCATCTGGAAGCAACAAAGGCCACCTCAGAGACTCAAGAAAGCGAGGATTTTTTTTTCTCTGTTTTGCCATAAACTTCCTAGAAAAAAAGCAACTTTGTGCTTTGGTTTCCCATTGAAAGAAAATGGGGGTATTGCACTCTCTGTAAATACAGAAGGAAGATGTAACATGTTGGAAGAGTTTTAATGCCACATAGCAAAAGCCTGTTTAATTTCTGACACTGAACAGTGCCTTGTCAGCAAATGCAGTCACCTGGCTATCCCCACTCAAAGGTGTGCTTTGCGTACCTCCTATATGATAAAAGCTGTTTCCAAATGTCCCCCTTCTACTAAGCATCTGTGCATGCTCAGATATACATTTCTGCATCTTTCAAGGTTGAGTTTCACTTCATTTCATTTTTTCCTCTATTTTCCTAACCCCCAAAACCACAGACCACAATGACAAGGAGACTCAGGCAGTCTAGATAGCTTAGAAAGTGAGGAATGCTGACAGACCAGAACTGCCCATGGTCTCTCCTCTTACGGCTATTGATTGATCTGGGGTAAGAGAAGGGCTTTTTGTACTGTGTCTCTGCCAAAAAAATAAAAGGCAAAAAGAAACCACTGGCAAACAAAGTACAGGTTTGGCCAGGATCTACTACAGGTGCTGAAAAAGAATTTTTTTCATCTTATATGGATGGAAGGAATGTTTTTACACACCGAGACTTCCCAATGAATGTTCTTTTCACTTCCAGAAGACCAGAATAAGATAAGCCTGGGCCAACTTCATGTGAAAGAGGAGGGTCCAGCAGGATGTTACCTATTTTTCTTCTATAGCTGTGCCTGGTGTATATTCCTGTTGCCGGTTCAGAAGCCTGCAGCTCTTTCCTGCTCTCAGCAGAAGAGTTTGCCAGCTCACTGCATCGACCGAAAGCATCCCAAGGCAGTGGTGAGCAGCCTTCGCAGCCCTCTGACTCTGCAGATGCAATGCCCTGCAGTCCCTCTTAAGATTTCTTTGCTGAATTTTCTCTGATGGTTTCTCACAGGATGAAATTACCTCTAAAGTGCTATTGCAGGTCTGGAATCTCCGTGAATTTTTACCTCTGGTGGTTTTTATCCTTTCTTCAACAAAAGACAAGGTCAAGCATTTTGTTGAGTCCAAAAAGACATCAAAGGAAAAGGGCAAGGGAAAAAAAAAAGCAAACCCTCTGTATAAAGCATTTCAGAGTACTCATGCAGCACATTAGAGAGCAAAGGGAGCTTTCTGGCTCCTATCTGGCTGTTGTTGCAATTGTTAATGTGGTTTTGTTCCATTATTAATGACACCAGGAAGAGAAATCAGGCCTTCCAGACAAACTTGAGAGACTTGCAGATGGCAAATAGAAGGAAGGAAATAAAACCCAAACCCTTAAAATAATGGAAATGAGGAAAGGGAAGAGAGGGGAAACTTAATATACTGAGTATGTAGCAATAAAAACCTGCAGGTGTCTATAGTATTGTAGGAATGGTGAGCTGAATCTTTTACAAAGCTTGTAAATCATTCCTAGAGCCTGCTAGTTTAAGGGCACTTTGTAATTAAACCAGGAAAAAAATATTTCTTACAGCCTGTACTATATTGCTTGATACATTCACGTTTCCTAGAACTGCTCTTTGACAAGCAGAGAAAAATAAAACCAGAAAATCAACATTAATGGATGAAACATCTGTAACCAGAGCGGCATATCATTAGCCTCACCTGAATGTGGTTGGACGGGATTTCAATAAAAAGCTTTGTTTGCAAAATACATCGTGAATATGCCCTGGTAAGCAGTCTCAGGATTAACACTCCAGTCTGGCTTTCCTGTAAATGTACTCTGAGTTAGCTACCAAATCAGCGTCCCTGCAGAAGAGCCGGGCAGGGTGCACCCTTTTGCTCCCACTCAGCAGAAACAGCTCCACTGTCGAAGCCTTGCACTGATGCCCAAGCACTGAAGCCCAGGACCCACCACCGGCTCGTCCTCAGCATCCTCTTCAAACCCCATCCCCAGCGAAAGGAGAGGTCTGCTGAAGCTCATCCCCCATTGCATTTGGGGTGCTGGGAGGCAGGCGGGTGCTGGGGGGGACTCAGAGGGGCCAAGCATCAAGGTTAAATTTGGTTAGACTGGCTGTTAATCAATAATCCAGATACCAGCGGTACTCCTTGAAGTCAAGCGATCCGCTCTGCAGTCACCTGTTTGTGGGGCTGCACCCCGTGGTCCCCAGCACCAGCCCCTACGGTGCAGCTCGCCACGGCCACGCTCCTCCACAGGCTGCTAGTGGGGAGCCGGCCCCGAAAATCCCCCCTGCCCTCCGCTGCCCCGCCAGCGGGCTCCCACCTGCCCAAAGCGCTCACCCATTGCTGCCATTTCACCCCCCAACGCATTTCGGCTTAAGAGAAACCTCCTCCCTTGCAGGGGGGGATCTTTGCAGCACAGCAGGAGAAAGCGCTGCTTGCGATGGGCTCTCAGGGAGAGAGGAACCAGCCCGCTGTCAGATAAATGGGGTTTATAAAAATCTGATTAAATGCTTCCTTAATACTGGGCAATTTTGTCGTATGTGTCACCGTATTTCTTGAGGTGCAGTTTATATTAAAAAAAGCCAATCTCTAGACATTTTATAATTTTCCCCTTAAAAAGAAGGAATCCGAAAGCTCTTTGCCGTTACTAATTGATGCTGAAAACACTCGTTTCTTATCTCAGGACTGAACATTTGACCTATACTGCAAAGCCAAAACTGCCAATATTTGGGAAGAACTCCAGACCTGGATTTCAATTTCATGACTAACATCTGTCCAATAGAGTGGATTAAATCAATGCAACCAGTGTGATACATTTTAAATTACTCAAAGTTCAATTCATTTTATTTGAGCGTATGCCCCATATGCTGTGCTGCCCAAATAGGTCACTGAGCCAAGAGCTCAAAAATAATTTAAATAAAGGTTTAAAGAGATGAGAAAGGAAAATGACATAAATTTATATTACCATGAGACCTTCTTTAATGCTTTGAGGAATAAAACTGCCATGAAGCGATGGGATCAGGAAGAAATTTTGCTGCTGGGGATCTCATTTGCAGCAGGGACACCCAGCCATGATGTTGGCCGGAGGCAGCACAGGGGATCTGGCAATACAGGAGCAGCTCAGACAGGTGGGATGGAGGGGAAGCACTTTGTCGGCTGCCTTTGCAGATGAAGTGCAACCGTGCTTTCAGGCACCTCCAGCACCACGGCAGGCTGCAAAACCCACATGAGATCAAATATTCGGGCAGTATGTCTTCACTGACCTCTCCTCCCCCTGTCCCTTCTCCTGACTCCCATTGCTGAAGCTTCAAGAGATGCAGCAGAAGTCAGGGAAGCTGGAGAGATTTTATTGCACCCTGAATAAAAGACGGGCCCTGGAGTCCACGCAGCTTGCACCCTCTCTTGCCAAGGCCTGACCTAAGTCCTGTGAAGTCCCCCCCCGAGGTGTGCAAGCAGGAAACCCTAATGTCGCACGGAGGCTTTCCCCTGGCTGCACATGAGAGCATCACCCGTGTCGGAAAGCCCCAGTGGGAGCAGGTCCCCCGCAACCGAGCTCTGAGCGAGCCCAGCCCCACTCCTGCTCACCTCCCTGCCCGGGGCTGTGCTTTGGCCACCCAGACCCCCGCCGGACCCACTTGTCAGCCTCGCAGACAAGCAGTATGTAGGGAAACCTGCACCGGGCCATACAGTGCAGTGGGAGATGTGGCTGCCCGGCGCAGAGGGCTCTGGCAGACCCCAGCCGTCCCTCCTCGTGCGGGGAGTTGCCCTTTCCTCCCACCCTCCCGGAGAAGCTTGTGCTGACCAGCAGACTGAGGTGTCTCTCTTTGATCCGCACCCTACTAAAGAAAACTTGAGGAGAGGGAAACACGAGGAAGAGGAGGATGGAAGCTCTGCAAAAGGGCCACCATGGCGTGTAACCTTTTTGCCGGTCAGAGGGACGGCTCTCCTCAGGGTGCATATGGCTTCTGGCAGCATCTGCCCCTGAGTGAGGATGAATTTTCAGGATTGGGGCACTTGCATGTTTTCTAATCATGTTTCTTCCTACGTCATGCTGTCCCGTGCTTTCTGAAAGAAAGACAAGCATTTCTGGGGACCTCCTCTGGAAGATGATGGAAGGGAGAGAGGAGCACCCAGTGCCTGTGCTGGGTACGGTGGGATGGGAACCGGGCTCATTTTCCAGCGTGGTCATCTGAGATAACCCCTGGGGACACAGAGATGCTGCTGCCCAGCCCCACCATCTCACCCGCAGAGTCACCAGACTCCTCCTTGGGGCAAGAAAGTTCTTTTTAACACCTTGAAGGGAAATTTCCCTTGCAGACGCATGTTTCATAGAATCGGTCACAGAATAGTTTGGGTTGGAAGGGACCTTTAAAGATCACCTAGTTCCAACCCCCCCCTGCTGTGGGCAGGGACACCTTCCACTAGACCAGGTTGCTCCAAGCCCCATCCAACCTGGCCTTGGACACTGCCAGGGATGGGGCAGCCACCGCTTCGCTGGGCAACCTGTGCCAGTGCCTCACCACCCTCACAGGGAAGAACTTCTTCCTCGCATCGAATCTAAATCTACCCTCTTTCAGTTTAAAGCCATTGCCCCTTGTCCTATCACCACATGCCCCTGTAAAAAGTCCCTCTGACTTTCTTTTAGGCCCCCTCCAGGTACTGGCAGGCTGCTGTAAGGTCTCCCCGCAGCCTTCTCTTCCCCGGCAGAACAACCCCCACTCCCTCAGCAATGGCACAAAACCAAAAGCGCCCTCGGCCGAGCGTCCCGACCCCGGGGCCCGATCCCTCCGCTGCCCCCCGCGGGGGGATCCGGCGGGCCCAC